AGCGGCTGTAATCCCGATAAATCACTCTGGCTGAAAAAATGTACAGTATGCGATAAATGATATGCAGATGCAAATGAAATGAAACATAAGCCAAGTTATTGGAAAAGGTTGGTCAAATTTTGGGGTACAACAGTATGCCCTTTGGGCGATATGCGACGCATTCACTCTCAAGTCATAGTCTTTAGTTCAACATGAGTTACAAATTTATTCAATTCACTTCTTGTTTAAAAAACACAAAATAAAATATCAAACCTTTTTATCCCTCGGGATTGTTTGCAAATCATTTTTAGAAAAAGTGTGTTAAGTCTTGCTTCTATCGCAAACATGCATCGTCCCTAACTGCTATAACGAAGGTTTAACACTACTCAGTTAAAACACTTGAACCAATCTGTGGTCGTGTCAGCCCGAACTACGTTTGCTCTGATTTCTCGTACCAGACGAGAATACGTAGGCACAAGACGACGATGTCTTGGCGAGCAACCTTCCCTCATCTTCACTCGTAGTTTTCCGAACTACGTTGACTCTGACTTTCCCATTGCACGAGAGAATATGTAGGCATAGAGCGACGATGCTCTATCGAGTCTCTTTTCTTTTCTTTTGTCCCTGTGAGCCAGGCTTTTGATAGATTAACACCCTTTTAGATAGACAACAAGCGTGGATCCCGTTGAGTACAACGGACGTGACGGGTGCTCATACCTTCCCCTTGCGTAACCGACTCCCGAACCCAATATTTGGTTGCGATGACCTGTCTTTTCCCTTTTTCGTAGGTTTTCTCTGATTGTTTCCTTTCCCTCTCTTTGGGATAAATAACGAGCAGTAGTGACTCTTCTGTCTTTGCCGATCCTCTTCTTCGCAGCGATGCGACAGGTTCTTATCATGCTTTCTTCTAGCAGGCTTGATCCATTTCCCTTAGGGAGCGTTGGTTGTAGGCTTGTAAATATTAGGCTTAGCCTTCTGCAGACCAGGCGCTTGCTCCTTCCTCTGTGGCACTCCTCTTTTGTTAAAATAATACTGAGGCTTGGCCTTCTCATTCTCATTCTCCTTGGCTTTCTGTGCACTATCGACCTTTTTAGTACCCTTCTTGTCGAACACAGCGTTGCATCGAGGACACAATATCACCTTAGATTCTTCAGCCTGACACCTGTAAAGGAATTCCATAAGACTTTCGCCAGCTTTTGGAAACACAACTTCAATTTGGTTCTCACTTTCTTCAAATTCAGCCACGTCGAAATCTTTAGTGATTTCAACCATGTTGACTGCACCAGGTTCTACATAACTAGCATTTCCCACTTGCAATGGGTCAGAATCAATCTACATAGAAGTCTTTCCCTTAGCAAATTTGAGTCTGCCTTCATTCAATGCATTCTGCATAAGATCCCTGAAAAGAAAACATTTTGAGGTTTTATGCCCTAAGAAATTATGATACTTACAAAACCCTCGTTTCTTTCTTTACTCTAATGGTGGAACTTTTGCACCTGGAGGCACAAGCACTTGACCATATGCAACCAACAAATCAAATATCTCATCACATTTGGTTACATCGAAGGTGTAAGTTTTCTTAGGGAATTTTTCATTTTCTTTAGGTTCTGCAAGATTCTTCCCATTTGCATGTGTAAGCAACTTACACACATATACGAGACCTAGCTTTAACTCAGCCACACCAACCTCAAATTCCTCGACATGTCCATATTCGACCTCAAACACTACGTCTTGGTCTTCCATGTCAACATAAGTTATACGTTCTTTCTTACCCTTACTCGCTTTGGCCTTCTCGACCTTCAATCTCTCGAATTTTCTAACTTTGTCTTCCAACTGAGCCATATCCCTCCGATATTGAGTGTCTAGCTTCTTCCTAAGGGAACAATCTAACCCACCAGTATCCATTTTGACAAGCTCATGCTCAGGAACCTGGGTGAAGCATCTTATTTTTAATAAACATAATTTATTTAAATAATCGTCGATTGACTCAACAAACTTTTGCTTGACCCTTGACAATTCTTTCAAACTAATCTTATATTGTCCCATGTAAAACTGCTCATGAAACAACCTATCTAATCGCGCCTAATCATGGATTGAATGAGGAGGTAAGGTAGTGAACCATGTAAAAGCAATCTTTGTCAAAGAACTAGGGAAGAATCTCACCTCTACGTGCATCTGAATAACGGTCGCTGCTAACTCAGTTCCTACCTTATAATACTATTTGAATATCTTAACTGTTTTACTGATACTATTATCTAAGAAGAGAATACTATAAATAACCTTTGGCTCTTCTAGAAAAACCTTATGAATTTTGAGCTTGCTTTTGGTCTTTGTGGTAACTTTTCTAAAAGAAACCTTATTAGGGTATGTGAATTCCAACTTCATGGTCTTAGATGAAAGCTTTCTACGTTGTAAACACGAGACTCTTCCTTTTAAGTATGTTGTCCTCTCTATCCGTGTTATTCCTCTCTTCAAGTCTACTTAGGGGCCTCATATTAGTCACATTTTAAGAAGGCTTCTTTTCTAAAGTTATGTGTTTGTTAGTCGGAGCAAGAGAATGACCATCTTCAACTTGGTTCTTAACTCGATCCTAATTTTCTACATTTCTTTTATGAATATGTTGATTAAGGTTTAGAATATGATTGTTAGATTTATGAAGAGATTTATAAGGGAATGTGTTAAAGGTGTTATAAAAATTTCTCAATTAGGTGGGTTAACGTCTGTAAGACAAACAGTAAAAGAGGTTTGAGTGTTTGAAATGTTCATATAGTCAAATTGTCCCTTGAGAAATAGTGTTGGAGGTTGCTCTGGGAGGCTAGTGGACTTTAGCATGAAATTCTTTCTGCAAGATACAAGGCTCTCCTGGCTTCCTCCCTTGTTGGGGGAATGATAATAGGTTTTATAAATTCTTCTACTTGGTGGTGGAAGGGAATTTTCCTACTTGGATCAACTTAGGATGTAAACTATAATTGGTTTGTAGACGCTGTCTATAAAAGGTGGGAAATGACTTTCTCACTTCCTTCTAGGAAGACCCTTAGACATGACCTACTCCTCTGTCAGTTCTTTTCCCTAGACTTTTTAAGATTTCTGTCCATCGGGAACAAAAGGTTGGGACTATGGGCCACTAGAAGGATATGCTTTGGTCTTTGTACCTTAGGTGGAAAAAGATGATGTCTGTATGAGAGCAGGAGTTAGTCATAATCTTTTTTGACCATTTAATACTTTATCATCTCCTAGGCCAAGGATCTCTAGTGGTGGTTGTAAGTGTAAAGTTCAACTAAGAGGGGGTGAATTAGGTACTATGGTCAATTTTTGGTTTAGTGAAACGTCACTTTTTCCTTTTTGGTTTGATAGTGTTTAGAAAGCGGTAAAATGCAGAAAAGTAAAGAATACCGGTGATATATCCTGGTTCTCCTCACAATCCAATAGTACTTCTGTTCCTTTATGCAATAAGAGATTTCAATATTGCTAGAACTTTGTACAAGTCTAATCATAGTTTTTATACATAAGTTGCTAACTTAATCAATAGGGATCACTCCGTTATGATTTACAAAGTAGAAAAAGAAAACAATCCTCTCTCTCTTTTCACTCTCTTGTTTCCAACAATGCTGAACAACAAGGTATACACACAAATCTGAGTTTTTACAAGAAGTTTGAAGTTGTAAGATGTTTATCAATTGCTTGAATTGATCTTCCCTTTCATGTACACAATTCTCAAATATGTTACACAAGTACTCAGAACAAAAATAACGAAACTATTTTATTAATGTAATGAAAATGAATGCAGAAAGTTTCACTCAAAAGCTTAAGACACACGACACTTGTTTTTGAAAGATGAAAAATCGAGTTTGAATTGTAATGAAAGAGATATGTTTTCAAAATTCGGCCTAGTGAATATCTCTTGTGTGCTTTTTGTTAGAGATCCCTAAAGTAAGGGTGTTCATTGGTCCGGGAAAATCCGAACCAAACTGGAATTCAAACCAAACCACAGTGTTTGCGTCAGGAATTTTTTTAGTTCAGGCAAAAACCGAACCAAACCAATGAAATCCAATGTTAATTGGTTCGGACAATAGATTTTAAAAATTCTACCCGCGAGCCCGTCTACCCAAACCAATCATATTAATTCATATAATATATATCATAATTATCATGAAAACTAATATAAGATATTAAACTTCAAGAAGAAAAAGATGAATTACTATTTGTGAAATTTACAATTTATCTGGAGAAACGAAAAAATAAAGAATTCTAAAATAATATGAAAAATTAGCTGAGGTAAATTATATATTTTTTAAAAAATGTTTTTGCACATTTGTTTCTAATGTATCTCATCAATCAAACTCAAACTAATCCGTTATTTTTCAGTTTGATTTGATTTGAATTTTATAAAAAAAATGAAAATTCAATCCAAACCAATTTATATATTTATAATCGGTTTGAATATTAGATTCTCTCAAAATTAAACCAAAACGACATGCGAACACCATTCCTCTAAAGTCTTTTTCGTACCTCCTTATTTCTGGCGGGAATGCTGGCTAACTTGTGGGAATGCTGGCTAACTTGTGGTATAGAATATTCAATCGGCTAGAGGGGAAATTGGTTCTTTCCAACCATACATCTTTGCTGTTTGAGATGCTTTTACTAGTAACTACATCACGCTTTTTTCAACTTCAATAGTCTGGTTTTAAATTAATGATCTAGTTGTTTAATTAAGTTGATTATATGATTATCATATCTAAGTCGTTTGAGATAGTCCAAACATATGCTTTTTCTATATCAATGAATTATGATTCCTTCCCAACAACCAACTCCCATAACCATCATTCAATTATCACATACTTTTTTTTATGTCTCCCTCGAAAACTTAGTTCGCAGATATATAAATATGATCCAAAAAAGAGTTTTCGAAACAAACAAAAATCAATTTCATAAAAAAAAAAACTACACGATGTCTCACGTAATGGACATACCAATTACCAAGTACATAAACACTTCTAACTTTTCATGTAGTGGTATAGTTTTTACAAACCAAGACGCAAATTTAAACCAAATCCTTCACTACAATCGCTACCTCTGTTGAATCCACCAACTCTCGCCTGATGCTGATGACTACGATCTCCTGAACTCGCTCCTTGCATGGTATATAGCCACGACGACGAAGGTGCATGCGACGCGACACCACCAGCCACAAAATGATGTTGCGGTGGTGCAAACATGAATGTGTTATGATAATTCGAAGGTACAAAGCTTCGAGCAGCTTGCATTTGAGCACGTTTCAGAAGCTGTCTTTCTTTCTTATGCGCGTTCTGATGTCCTCCTAACGCTTGCGAATTTGCAAACTCTCTACAACAATATTGACACTCATATAGCTTTCTCGCATTCAAAGATTCAGATAATTGTGACTCTGATAGTGATGGAGATTGATTCAAACAAGCTTCTTCTTGAATGTTAATACCAAAAAGTTTTACAGTATTGATGGAGGTAGGAGAAGTAACAGAATTTTCATGGCAATCAACATAGGCCATTAGGGTTATATCTGTGTGAATGAGAGCTACAAAATATTTATATGTGAGAGGTTTATATAAGAGCCTAGAAACTTATGCATAAACTTGGGATTAGGGTATATATATATATATATATATATATATATATATATATATATATATATATATATATATATATATATATATATATATATATATATATATATATATATATATATATATATATATATATATATATATATATATATATATATATATATATATATATATATATATATATATATATATATATATATATATATATATATATTTGTTGTGAAAATTTCAATGGAAAAGAGACAACAAACGAATCAAGAGGTAAAAGCATGGTGTGCTTGGTGGGAATATAATTATAATTTCGTATAGAGAAATGTGACAATACGCATGACATTATAAGTTACATATTCATATTTCAAGATCCTAGAGGAGCAATGATATTTCTATGGGCATACATTTTATTTATTTTAAATTTTTTTTCTTTTGTTTTCTTGTGTTTTTATGAGAAAGATGCTCAATATGATTTGTCGCAAATTTAAATAATTGATACATGGATGCTATAAAAAAATAAATATTTGATACATATATAGACATGGGATTCCTATAAAATATAATTTAAGAGTATACGTGTGTTAAGTGATGGTGGTTTGGGCATATAAAACAAATTAAAAGGTATATGCTTTTTGGCTTTAAATGCTTGACGTGTTTGTAATCTAGCTTGAACGTACCTTGTTTAATCTGCAAATGGATGTGATCAGTTTTGGCATGGATTTTGTTGTGATTATAAGAGTTACTAATTTAAAATCAATTTATGATTCTTTTTCGTGTAATCTTATATTGAATGTTTACACCAAAAATATTAATTGAAAGTTGTTGAGATTTAAGTATGAAAGATTAAATCCAGTGCATAACAAATTGAAGAAATGTTGGATTAATAAGAGAAATAATATATGTTTTTAATATTTTAAAATTTTATGTGAATATATACTTAGATCTGAACGTTTAATTCATTGACGTTTATGTTATTTTTGCTCCTCAGACTTTTTCTACAAATAATATCGGAAGCATGATTACGCTAAATGGAACTTTGTAACAAGCTTAATCACTTAAAAACTAGCTTCAATATAAAAAAGATGAAAGTTAGTTGATATTTGTTGATCATTATTCAAAAGTTTTTTCAAATGTCTTATATGTACAAATTGTACTTCTCTTAGTCAATATAGACAAAACACTACTGCTACTTGCATTTGCATTTGTTATTAATTCTGTACAACTTTAAAGGCTGTTAAACATAGTGGTTGTAGGTAGTAGTAGAATTATATTTATAAAAAAATGTAATATTTTACATAAATTCTTGCGATTACACTAGAAATTAAAACAATTTTTCGTTTCTGAATTGCAAATTTAATAGAAATATTTTGGTGAAGAAATCAGGAAAGCATAAGACATGTTAAAAGGGAGAGGAAGTCCAAGATTGAGAAAGAATAAAGGTCCACAATGATGTGTGGTGAATGTTAGGATTTCATTATTTCAAACATGTTTGCGTAATTAACGTTGAGTTAGTCATTAATTATTTGGACAAAATCTATAAGAATCTTACTAACTCTTGTTCCACTAGTTGGGTTCAATGTATTCCAATGATATCAAGGACTCCATCTCCATGTTCTTTCCTCTTTCTTTTCTTTTCTTTTTTTATTAAAAAAACTCTTGTTCTTACATAATGATTTTTTTTAAAGCAAAAGTATTCATTAAAATAGAGTATATAAAATACTCAACCAACCAACATTACAATAATTAGATCACAATAGTCTACAAAGATGGTAGAAAATACAAAATCAAACATAATCTAAATAAGTTATGTATGAGTGGTCTAGGAAATCTAATGGTGCTCTACACCATTCATAATGGTTATCTTTTACTTATACAAAATTATATAATTAATTAAATTTAAATTGACATAATTAATTATTAATTAATTATATTATTGTCAATTATTATTAAATACTAAGTATCTTTGAATTGTGTAATTAAGTTGAATTATTGACTTAAGTTTAATGAGAGATCTTTACTGTATTCAGGTATTGGCGTTGTCACATTAAACAATATAAAATAATTCATTGATAATTAATACTTAATAAAAATTGATCATTCAATTAATTAGTCTAATGAGAGTTTTTTATCATCAACTGTATAGCTATTTAAGCGTTGTTTCATTAGATAATTAAAATACTCTACAAAATTTAAACGGTAAGAAGATAATAATCCTTTAATATTTACTATATTTACTATGTCGACGACAAATTCTTCAATATTAAAAGATACAATGTTCTTATTATTCTGAATTATTATTTAATTTAATAACATTATAAGAAAATTATTCACTAGCGAAATAATTTTGTGGCGTGATAAACATGTAGCAAAAAAAGGTTATTGCGACGTGTTTATCACGTCGTTGTATATTTTAAATAGTAAAAATTAGAAGTCGGGTTATGACGTGGAGAAAATTTGAAAATTAAAAAAATAATAATAATCTGACGTGGAAAACACGTCGCCACATCCCTTTTTATAATATTTAAAAAAAATACGTCATATTTCAAAAGGGGGTGTTGTGATCACAAGTGATACCTTTCAACAAATAAAGATTGAAAAACAGAATTTTTGGTGAACAATGAAAACGATTAGAACAAAGAGAGAAAGAAGATAAGATAAAGAAGAAAGAAGAAGAAGAACGATAAGGGCAAATTGTTTACTATTCACTTTCTCATAAGGGCTTACAAATTATTACAAATGAATATCACAATTGGCCTCACTCAACAACTTAAGCGATCTAGCTTATTTATAGACTAACTAGTTAACTTATAACCCAAGATAACTAAATAATTGGATCCTTAACACAAGACCCAATTCGATATAATAAGTCAACAATATATTTCAACATTACATACCAGAACTAGCTTCAACTACAGTATGTAACCCTTCGACATCAGCATGCGACCCAACTTCGACTTCATGCTTGCCTCTTGTCGAAACACATGAAATATATTCCTCGACAGAGCTAGAGTTCGACCCAAAATCTTACAAATTTCCACCTCGGATCTAACTCTACAACAACAGGGAATAAACTAGCATTTATCATGCATCTTTATCAACTGCATACAGTGGAAAAACTTGCAATTTTGCAACGTCTTGGTGATCATATCAGCAGCATTGTCTTCAGTCAAAACCTTCAGCACCTGGACTTCACCACGCTCGATTATCTCTCTGACGAAGTGCAACCTCACATCGATGTGCTTAGTTTGCTCATTTTAGGCTAAATTTTTTGACTGGTGTATTGCACTTTGACTATCACATTTAACAGTGATACTTCGACCTTGAAGTTTCAGCTCCTTTGCAAAACCTTCAAGCCACAATACTTCTTTCACAACTTCAGTAAGGATAATATATTCTGCTTCAGTGGTTGATAAGGTAACAACCTTATGAAGCGTTTATTTCCATCTGATTGTTGTGCAAAATATAGTGAAGACATATCCAAATAGACTTTTTGGAATCCATACAACCTGCATAATCAAAGTCGACAAATCCTTCGATTTCGACTATGTTATCACTACCACAGGCTCCACCATAAAGCAAGACTCTTTTCAGAGACCCGTTTATGTATCTGAGAATCCACTTCAAAGCTTGTTAGTGTGCCTTTCCAAGATTGGCCATATACCTGCTTATAAGGCTCACGCCATACACTATGTCTGGCCTCGTACAGACCATAACATACATCAAAAAACTTATTACACTAGCATATGGAATGCTACTCATATAGATTCTTTCAATTTCAATACTCGGAATTTGAGTAGTAGTTAGCTTAATTTGAGGATTTGTTGGAGTCATAACAGACTTTGAATTTAACATACCAAACTTGTCGAGAAGCTTTTGTAGGTATGTCTCTTGAGATAAGCACAACTTCAACTTCTTTCTATCTCTCTGGATGCCAATCTCAAGAATCTTGGTGGCAGCTCCCAGATCTTTCATTTTAAACTCCTTACTGAGTTCAGCCTTCACCTCTATTATAACCTCAACATTATTGCTATCTATGAGGATATCATCCACATAAAGCAACAACATAACAAGTTAATTTCTAGGTCAAAATCTGAAGTAAACACAGTAGTCGAACAGGCTCCTAGTGAAACCAATGTATGCCATGAACTTGTCGAATCTCCTATCCCGTTGTCTAGGAGATTATTTCAGACCATACAAAGACCTATTCAGCTTGCACACATAATCTTCCTTATCCTTTTCTACATACTCTTTAGGCTAACGCATCAGGATCTTTTCGTCTAAGTCACCATGCATGAATTTTGTTTTCACATCCATTTGCTCAAGTTCCAAGTCGAACATCGCCACCATGGCCAACAAAAATCTAATGGATCTATGCTTTACAACAGGTGAGAACACATCATTAAAGTCGACACCTTCTTTCTGAGTGAACCCCCTAGCAACCAGTCTTGCCTTAAAGCACTTCGACATCACTCCTTCGATTCCTTCCTTGACCTTGAAAATCCACTTATAACTGACTAACCTTACTCCTACATGTTTCTCAATCAACCCTCAAGTGTTATTATCATGAAGAGATTTCATCTCATCATCATGGATTTCCGCCATTCAGTCTGACTTCGACTCCTCGTAGCTCCCTTGTAATCTATGGGTTCGTCCCCAAGTACCTCACTTGCAGAGATTAAGGCAAAAGCTATAAGATCTGCATAACCAAGTCTCTGAGGTGGCTTGATGACTCTTCTCGACCTATCTCTTGTCAGTAGGTAGTCATTGAAAATTTCCTCAGCCTCTTCAGCATCTTGCTCTTCTTTTTCTTCGACTTCATCTGGGTTATGCACTTCAGAATCACTATGATCCACCTCAACAGGCATCTCTACCTGTTTCAGCTCCTCTTCTGAGATTTCTGCACTTCGACCAGTGTAACGCCCGTTTATTTCAAT